GGGTTGCTGTGAAGGTATTTTGCAGATGAGATTAAAACCCATAATCAGTTGACTTTAAATAAGAGAGAGTACTCTAGATAAGATGGGGGTGGCGTGGGGGGGGGTGGGGGTTGATTCAATCAGTTACATGAACAGAGCTGAGGCTTCCCTGAAGAAATTCCACCTGTGGATGGAAGCTTCAGCTTGTGCCCAAGAGTTCCGGCCCACTCTTCCTGACGGCCCTGGCATTTCGAGGAAGGACAAGGAGAAGAGGGAGGGATTTCCCGGGATAGACACGTTCACACACACACACACACACACACTGTCTGCTGGTCATTTTCCAGGACTCCAGTGTGGGAACGTGGGCTCCGGGTCTCTCTGAGGACTCTGTCACAGAGGGCTCTATGGTTTTGGAGTTTCCCTGCAGATGTGGGATCCAGGACAGGAGGCCAACCAGTCCTGATGGACAGGAAAATGGGAACAGAAGGTGTTGGGTGGGGCAGTCCTACCAACCCGGCTGAGTCACTTGAACCTCTCACACCCCAGCAGCTGGGCTTGGGCTGGTGGCTCCACCCTGCACTTGCCCAGGCCTGAAGGCCATGGCTGAGCTCCCCCACTCTGAGCTCTCCAGGGAGCAGGGGGCTTGGTGGGGCACTCTCTCCCCAGGGCCCCCTTCCCAAGGCCTGCTTCCCAGAACTGGGGCCCAGGGACCTGGGTCCTCCCCAAGACTGATGATTCACGGCCTTTTCACTTCTTCTTTGGGGCTAAAAATACAGGGACCCAGGCATCCAGCTGAGCCTGGCCTCACCATGGATTGCACAAGTGCTGCTGACGCAAGCCTGGGGCGAGTTGGGGGCTGGGGGCCCGGCTGCTCCCAGGCAGACCTGCTGAAGTCAGGGCCTGGGCCTCTGCACTTCCCCTTTCTTGGGTCAAGGACACTGGGGGCTGGGCCGACACGGGGGTGGGGGGGCTCTGGGCTTGTCTGTGCCTCCTGGATACGGAGCGCCTTCCTGTAGCCCCAGGTAACCCAGGTATCCAGGTTCCCAGAATCTGGCCCCCTTGGAAGACATGAAGTCTTAGTTAGGAGTTGGTGGCAGGAGATAGCAAAGGGAGACTGGGAAGGAGACAGGCAGGGAGACACAGGACCACAGGGGGCAGACCCGGAAATGGGCAGAGAGACGGGGAGACGCAGGACCACGGGAGGCAGACACGGAAACGGGCAGAGAGACAGAGGCAGGGACAAATCAGAACAAGAGAGATGGACAGACACAGGAGGGAGACACAGAGGAACAGCTAGAAAAAGGAGGGGACCATCCCCTGCCCCCACCAGACAGAGCCAAGGAAGACGGATGGAGAGTGGCCCAGCCAGGGCTCCTCCTGAGCCAGATAGGGAGGCCCCTGGAAACAGAGAGGTCATCGATACACACAGTCCAAAGTCCACTCCAGGCTGGGGAGGGGGGACACGGGGAGAGGAGGACCGCTCTGCCCTCTGCTGGCAGGCCTCTGCTGCCCCCTGCTGGCTCCAGTGGGAGGAAGAACAGTCGGAGACAGGCTGCTTAGGGTTACCACCTTCATTCCCCAGGCCTGCCCACTCCCCACCCCCCAGCTTAGAGGGTGCCCCCGGGGCCCGGAGGCGGTGTGGGCGTCTTGCCCGTGACCTTGTTGGCGCAGTCCAGCAGGGCGGTGTGAATGTCCTTGGCACAGGCAATCTGGGCTTTGATGACGGCCAGGTACTGAGGGTAGGGCAGGCTGTCGGGCTGTACTGCGTCTGGCTTGGTGGCCGTGGGCACGAGCGTCGGAGAGTGCTTGGCACTGTCGCAGCTCTGAGACAGGCACTCATGTGCCAGGCGCTGTGGGCAGGAAGGCAAGGGCAGGGTGTCAGCCTGCTCCCAGCACTCCCAACCCCAGCCCAAGGGCCAAGCCGGGGTAGAGTCCGCTCGGCCTCTGGGATCCCATGGTCCTGGAGTCAAAGCCTGGCCCTGCCGGTCACTTGCTGGGTGACCACAAGCAAGTGGTTGTGAGCCTCGGTTTCCCCCTTTGGTCAATGGGCTTACTAACCCTCTGCCTACCTCTGGAGGTGACAACAGGTGACAGGCGTGAGACAAGGGGAAGAGGTTGTGCCCCATCATTTAAGTGCTAACCAAGGAACGTCATCTACTCGTTATTCTCATGACTGGGTCCTGAGCCCAGGCTCGGAGTTATCTGTGGCCTCCGCGGCGGCTCCCGCTCCTGGTTTTCCTCCTCCTTCTCTGGCTGCTCTTTGCGGGCAAGTTCTCACTCTACGCCAGCCTCGCGTGCAGCACTTCCTGCGCCGTCTCCTCCTCTCCTCACGTCCTCCCAGGGCAGTCTCACCCACACACACCACACCAATTCCCACCTCCGCAGTCATGTCCACGTCTCTGTCCCCAGCCCTGGCCACTCCTGACATTCCCGGGGCCCCTCATACTCTCCCTCCAAATTGCTCCTCCTCCCACCCCAACATTGCAAACGGAGCCCTGGGCCTCATGTTGGAGGCGCCTTCTCTCCCACATGCCTGTCCACAGGCCTCCTAAGCATCTTTCCCACCTGCCCTTCTTCCCTTCCCTTCCTCGTGGCCCTGCCTGGCTGCACCTACTAGACCTAGCCCACCCAGATCCTGCCCTGGCTGCCTCCTTGGTCTCCCAGAGACCAAGGAGGCAGCCTCGGCCTTTTTTAACCCACCCCTCATTTGGCAGCCAGAGGGATATTCCTAAAGAGCAGACGGGTCCATGTTTTTCCCCGTGTGCAATCCTCCATGGCTCCCCAGTGCCCGAGGGCCGTGCTCAATCTCCAGCAAGCCCCAATGGCTACCAGCCAGACTGAATTCTTAAAGTTCCCTAGTGAACGTAAAGGAGAAGCTGTCCTCTCTTTCTGGAACACTCTTCTGCCACTAGCAGGCTTCCCCAATTCTGACTTTTCCTTCCAGAGCTAGTTCAAAATGATGATGATGATGGTACTACAGAAAACCCTCACCACACAACTGGTGCCACGTGACGTATTTTACACGCGTGACCTTGCTCAGTCTTCTCTGAAACTCCATTTTCCAAAGGAGGAACCCAAAGCTCAGAGGTGGAAATTGAGGGATGGGGGACTCAAAAACAGTCAGTCAGATCCCAGAGGCCATACTTTTAGCCACCAGCCCTTCTCTCAGCTCTGTCCCTCACCCATTCTTTCTTCCAGCCTCAGCTCAGATGTGCCCCCAGGAGCCTTCCCTGGGCTTCCACAGCCCCTTGAGAGTCCCTCATTTTAATCCCCTCCGCCTGTGCCTCCCCCATCCCAGCCCTGACCACTCTTGCTGTCACTGTTTGGGGACATACTGGTCACCCCACTAGACTAGAAGCTCTGTGAGGGTCAGGATCAGAGCAACACTGTGTCCCTTGCATTGGCTGAAGCACAGGCCTGGCCTGGAGGCGCTGCTGAGTGTGCGTGGAATGACTGAATGAGGGTTCCTGAGGACTCAGGGGACTGAGGCAGGGCTGTGGTCACTCAGTGCCCAGGAGGCCGCTTACCAGGCAGAGCTCCAGCTGGTCACAGAGCGCATAGAACTCCTCCAGACACTTGTCAAAGCGCTGTATGGGTCCGTCGCTGCTCTTTCTACAGCCAGGAGAAGAGAGTAATTGAGGAACGGATTTCCAACCTTTGAGACACCACTGTCTATCCAATTAAGTATCCATCCAGCAACCAGGAGCAGACCCAGGAGACGAGGGCAGGGCTTAGGGGACCGGCAGTAAAACCCCGTTGTCGTCGAGTCGATTCCGACTCACAGCGAACCCTATAAGATAGAGTAGAACTCCCCATAGGGTTTCCAAGGAGCGACTGGTGGATTCGAACTGCCGACCTTTTGGTTACTACCCAAGCTCTTAACCACTGCGCCACCAGGGCCACAGCAGTAGTAGACACAAAGCGCAGGCCGATTGGCGGGGGCGGCGCTTTAAGATAGGCAGAAGCCTAGGCGAAGGGAGAGTCTGAGACTGAGGAGGAGATGGGTCACCCCAAGGAAAGAGGCTGCACTCACTGTCCGTTGTCAATGTTCGTGTTCTGAACCAAGTTCTGAGCTGCAACTTTCATCAAGGTCTGGTTTAAAAAAAAAAAAAAGGAGATGGAGAAACTGCAGGGGTCGGTTTTGGTAGACCTACTCCGTTCCTTAAGACCCACCCGATTCTCCTCTTCATCTGGCACCTCCCCCTTTGACAGTTCAGAGTAACGCAGCTTCCATTCCTACAGTAATCCCACCTCCATTTCCCCCAGTAACCTCCTGGACCTCCCTTACGCACCGCTCGTGGGCAGACTCTCGGTACAAGCCCGTCCTCTCCCCGGGCTTTCTCCATCAGAGCCCGGCTTCTCCTTCAAACTCCCTCCCACTCGAGTTCCGGCCAATCCCCGGCTCAGCGTGTGCGCCGGCCCCACCTGCGCTCCACCTGCAGCGCTTCTCTCTGGTCTGTCCTGTTGCCTGCCCAGCGCTCCCTGTGCTCTCTCCCGGACCAAAGAGCCCCCGTCCCGCTTGCTCCTCACAGCTCCCGGCCAATCACCTGTAGACTCTCCTTCAGCTGCGGGATAAGCATCTTATAGCGCTGCACGGGATCGAAGTCCTGCTGCTGTTGCTGCAGAAGCCCGCTCTGCGCAGGCCCCACCAGTTGTGCCTGTGGCTGCGGCTGCTGCTGGGCACCCGGGCCGCCCGCTGAGCCCGGGCCCGACACACCAGAGGTTGAGGAAGCCGTTGAAGCGGGCTGCTGGGGCGCGGACATCTTCTTCGCTTAGCGCGCCGGAAGCACGCCACCGAGCGTCTCTCCGGTTGTTGTTTTCTTTTTTTTTTATTTTAGCGTCTCCAGAATTCCTAGGCCCAGTTTGCTAGTTAGCCCCGCCTCCCAAACAAATCAGCCAATGAGAGGGAGGAGTTATCCCACCTTCCGTCACTTAGAAAATGACACCGGACGTCCAGACTGAGGTACCTTTCCGCCAATCACAGGAGGACATTCCTCCCTTGCTCCGCCCCCTGCTGCGGCCGCTGGCCAATCCGAGTGTGGGTTCGATGGACTCTATTTCCCTGAAGGCCTCGCGGCGTGAGGCGACCTGTCGGGTCCTCAGCGTCTTGGCGACAGTTGGTGGAGCCGGAGCTGCGGGTCCGCCCTCGGCGCTGCCTGCGTGTTTTCCTGCGTCGTCCGGAACTCTTCTCGTCAGCCGGCCTCATCCCGACCCACTCACTTCCCTCGCAGAGCGGCGCCAACCCGGCCTGGCCTCGGATCAGGCGTCCGCCGAAGTCGGCACGCCCCTCCGCAGCTCCCTGCGGCACAGCCAGGACCCCGTCCGGGCCGTCGTCGCCTCGTCGCCATGGCGCCCACCATCCAGACCCAGGCCCAGCGGGAGGATGGCCACAGGTAGGCGCCGCGTCTCCTGGCGGTTCCGCTTTCCTCTTAGTTAGGCGAGGCGCGGGGGTCTCAGCCCCCAGGTGTGCTCGTGACGTCACCGAGCGCGCACCTTTGGCGAAGGGGGCGGGGTCTCTACTTTCCCTTTGGGACGGAGACCTTGCCCCCTCCCCTACCATCGAGTTTAGGGATTAAGCGTTTTGCAGACTTGCTTCAAACTGAATAGTTTTTAGGTCCCTCCAATAAAGCATTTGGAGACCCCTCTTTCAAAAATGATTACGTGGTTCTTTTTATTAAAGAACTTGGAAGACATCCCCTCAGGGACTGAGTATTTGGCCTCGTTCATTAAGACATTTGGAGTTACTTTCTCCAAAAGGGATTGAATACTTGTCTTCCTCCATTAAGACACTTGGGAGACACCTCTTCCAAAGAGGATCAAGCATGTAACTCTCCTCTCCCCTTGTAAAAGCTTGGAGGAGCCTCTTCCACTTTGTCAATCTTCTGTCTCCACTTTTCTCTCAGCATCTCTCTTTTTCCCACCAGGCCCAATTCCCACCGGACTCTGCCTGAGAGGTGAGCCCCACTGTGCTTTCCAAGAAGGGGTGGGCCAGTCAGTGGGAGCTGGGAGCAGAGGTGGGCCAGCAGGGGCCCAGTTTTGAGCCATTGTGTTCCCAGGTCTGGAGTGGTCTGCCGAGTCAAGTACTGCAATAGTCTCCCCGACATTCCCTTCGACCCCAAGTTCATCACCTACCCTTTCGACCAGAACAGGTGAGACTGAGATCAGGATAGAGGAGCAATTCACTAGAATATGAGTTATCCTGTTGACTGCTATCTCCTTAGGGCTAGAATAGTAGTTACCCGTTAAAAAAAACCCACTGCCGATTGAGTCCATTCCGACTCATAGCGACCCTACAGGACACAGCAGAACTACTCCATAGGGTTTCCAAGAAGCAGCTGATGGGTTCTAACTGCGGATGTTTTGTTAGTACCGAAGTTCTTCATCACTGCGCCTCCAGGGCTCCAGAACAGTGGTGGTGGATGCTTCGTGAGAGTCAACGGTGCACGCAGTGTCTTTTCCCACTGCGGTGCCAGCCTTCTGCTCCCAATAAGGGGGGGGACACTCCATCCTGAGTTCCTCCCTGGAGAGGAGAAGCATGGCCTCTAGGAAGCAGGGATGAGGGGGTAAAACTGCAATCAAGAAATCATAACGGGCACGTTTCTCCACCCAGGTTTGTCCAGTACAAAGCCACTTCCTTGGAGAAACAGCATAAACATGACCTACTGACTGAGCCAGACCTGGGGGTCACCATCGACCTCATCAACCCTGACACCTACCGCATCGACCCTAATGGTGTGTGGAGAGGCAGGGAGGGTCTGCTGTAGGCAAGCAAAGGCCAGGCCTCAGCCTCCCTCCTGATCGTCCCACCCCCACTGCTCTCCTCTAGTTCTCCTAGATCCGGCTGATGAGAAGCTTTTGGAAGAGGAGATTCAGGCTCCCACAAGCTCTAAGAGGTGGGGGTGCCAAGGGGGTGTTGGCGACTGGCTTGGATGGGATCTCCAAGCAGGAGGGCGGTGAGGTCCTGAGGGCCCTTATCCGCTACCTCAGATCCCAGCAGCATGCGAAGGTGGTGCCGTGGATGCGGAAGACAGAATACATCTCCACCGAGTTCAACCGCTATGGCATCTCCAACGAGAAGCCTGAGGTCAAGTAAGTCACAGCTGGGTAGGGAGGGAAGGTGACTGTGGGTATGTCCAGCGGCCGTCTGTAAGGCCTTTCTCCTCACTTCTAGGATTGGGGTTTCTGTGAAGCAGCAGTTCACTGAGGAGGAAATATACAAAGATAGGGATAGCCAGATCACAGCCATCGAGAAGACTTTTGAGGATGCCCAGAAGTCGGTAACTGAGGGGCTGGTATGGGAAGAAGGCAGAGAAAGGGGTGGCTCCAGAACCTATCCTCCATTTCACCATTTTTGCCCCTACCAGATCTCCCAGCATTATAGCAAGCCACGGGTGACACCAGTGGAGGTCATGCCTGTCTTCCCAGACTTTAAGGTCAGAACCAGGGTGGGAGGCAGAGCGGGATAGCAACACGATGAGGAGGTGGACGAGGGGCAGGCCTCCCATCTTTGCCCCCTCCAGTCTAACCCCAGTGCTCTGTGTCCTCCCAGATGTGGATCAACCCATGTGCCCAGGTCATCTTTGACTCAGACCCAGCCCCCAAGGACACGAGCGGCGCAGCTGCCCTGGAGATGATGTCCCAGGCCATGATCAGGTAAGTGGCCCTGCTGCTACCCTTAGCCTGCTTCTCCATTGCCCCTGTGTCCTCACTCTTCATTGCTCCTCCCTTCCCCTAACCAGGGGCATGATGGATGAGGAAGGGAACCAGTTTGTGGCCTACTTCCTGCCCGTGGAAGAGACGCTGAAGAAACGGAAGCGGGACCAGGAGGAGGAGATGGACTATGCACCAGAGGACGTGTATGTGCTCGGGGACTGAGAAGGGCGTCCTCTTTGCTCCATCACAGGCAAGGAACGGGGTTGATCTTATACCCTCTTCCTCAGGTATGACTACAAGATTGCTCGGGAGTACAACTGGAATGTGAAGAACAAGGCTAGCAAGGGCTACGAGGAAAACTACTTCTTCATCTTCCGAGAGGGTGATGGGGTTTACTACAATGAGCTGGAGACGAGGTACTCAGCACACTCCCATCTTGGCTTAGCTTGGGCCTGTGCATCTCAAGACCCTGGGGCATAAGAGGGCCACCTTGGGCGGTCACTGTACCTAAGGATTTGTCACGTGCACTTGTAAGCAAGAGCAGCAAAAGCCTGCTCACCTACATAAGTCGGTCCTGTTTCTAACATGAGTGGGCAGAAAGAAAATTTTATGTAATACTGGAGACATTTAGAGATTTTGTGTTATGGTGGTAGTTGGACTGCTGTCAAGTCAGCCCCTGCATGATGCAATGAAATGGGATCTGTAGGGTTTTCACTGGCTCATTTTCCAAAAACTGTCAGGTCTCTCTTCCTTTGTGCAGGGCGACAGCCACGTTTCCTCTGACGTTACTGAGATTTTACATGGAAGTAAACATAGCCCAAGTATAGAGTAATAATAAAATCAGCATGCATGTTTGAAAGGAAACACTCGGCTACCCAAGTCCAAAAATGTGACTTCAGAGTTCTTTCCTGCTGGGTAAAAGTTCACTGCTTTGATAAGGCATCTTGTATAAGGGTTGGGAAAGTGTGACCCTCAGTTTGTACTTAAAAGCAGGGATCACAAATTCTGATCCTCTAAGCTGGGCAGCAGTGGGCTGCTAGGGTCTGGATGACCTGGAGCTCTTGGCAACCTCCGAGGGGCACCCCGACCTAGCTGTAGCCCACTGAGCCTGTGCGGTGGGGGGCACAAAGGCCCAGCATAGCCACAGATTCCTATTTTCTAAAAGCTAGAAATCTAGATTAGGTGAAAACCCTGGTTTTTGAAATGTTGGTAATTAATTCACATTTAAAAACGGTGCAGGGCAACCCAATGGGCACCGTGGGAGCTACTGTCCTTGCCCTCCCCTGCCCCCAAACATTGGGTGTAGTCTCCCTTACTCAGTCTCTGGCTAAGCACTGACGGATGGCAAAGTAAGAACCAAGGCAGACCACCCCCCACTCGAGGTCTTCTACCACATCCTCTGCATGCCTCCCCGCCAGGGTTCGCCTCAGTAAGCGTCGGGCCAAGGCTGGGGTTCAGTCGGGTACCAATGCCCTGCTTGTGGTCAAACACCGGGACATGAATGAGAAGGAATTAGAAGCCCAGGTAACAAGCACTATTCTGCCTGGGGCACCCACAGGGAAGGTGGTGGAGGGTGAGGAGGGGAACAGACCTGATGGTGACCCTCTCGTCCTATTCTTCCTGTTCCCAGGAGGCACGAAAGGCCCAGCTGGAGAACCATGAGCCCGAGGAGGAAGAGGAAGAGGAGATGGAGACAGAGGAGAAAGAAGCTGGGGGCTCAGGTAAAGCTAGACAGACCCTGGGAGCCCTAGGCAGGCGGGACAGGGCGCCGGGTCTCACCTTTCCTGCTTTCTCGCAGATGAAGAGCGAGAGAAGGGCAGCAGCAGTGAGAAGGAAGGCAGCGAGGATGAGCGCTCAGGCAGCGAGAGTGACCGGGAGGAAGGGGACAGGGATGAGGCCAGTGACAAGAGCGGCAGCGGCGAGGATGAGAGCAGTGAGGATGAGGCCCGGGCTGCCCGCGACAAGGAGGAGATCTTTGGCAGCGATGCTGACTCGGAGGACGATGCTGACTCTGATGATGAGGACAGAGGACGGGCCCGTGGCAGTGACAATGATTCGGACAGTGGCAGTGAAGGGGGTGGCCAGCAGAGCCGCAGCGCCAGCCCCTTCCCAAGCGGCAGTGAGCACTCACCCCAGGAGGATGGCAGTGAAGCCGCACCCTCGGATTCCAGTGAAGCCGACAGCGACAGTGATTGAGTGCCAGGCCGCCAGGCTGGCACAGACACCATTGTTACAAGCAGGAAGGCACTTTTCTAGTGGCCTGTCTGTGAGCTTTTCACTTTGTTTGTCCCCCTACCCCCACCCCCACCTTTTGGAGTTAATAAAGACAACTTCTCTTCCCTCCCAGGCCCTGTGGTCTCATTCCACCCCATCCCCATCCCCATCCCCATCCCAGGCGCTCAGGGACTGCAGCCTGAGGCACAGAAGCGGGCCACAGGGGCAGAACCACTGAGTTTTCCATTAAATGTAGCATAACAAAGGTCAGAATCCTTTTTTGGTTTTTTTTTTTTTTTTTTTTTTTCCCAAAATAAGCCCAGACCATTAAACAAGTAAAACTCCAACAAATCAGTCTTCTCCAACAGCGAGAAAAACTGTACAGTTACTCAAAGCTGATTCTGCCAGTGGGGCTGGGGACAAAGGGGACACGGAGGGTGAAATCATGGTTGAGGGGCTGGGAGGGGTCAGGAGAGGGGCTGGGAATGGGGGGAGAAGGGCTGGGTCCTGCCCATCAGAGTGGGGCCGCCTGCGTCCTGCGCACTCTGCTGTCAGGGGGCGACGGGGAGGGGCCAGCTCTTGCCTCCCTTTATGTGGGGGGTGTCCCTCACCACCTCCCGAGCCAGGCAGAGCCAGTGCATCCTGACAGGCTGTGAACCGGATGGGGCTGGCTGGAGGGAGGTGAGGGTCCCGTAAGAGGGACACCCTACCGACTCTAAACAAGGTGCCCATCGCTCCCGCTTGCTGGGGCGGGCAGGAGGGGGCGAGGGTGCTCTGGGAGCTTGAGGGGAATGAGCAAAGGCACAGAAACGTGGAGGGCTGGGGGGGGACTTGCATAGGTTGAGTGTGCAAGAGGTACATAAATAAACCTGACACCCCACCCAGCCCGGCACTGGGAGAGGAGGTGAGGACCTGGGGGCAGGGCCCGGGGCCACCCCACGCCCGAGCTTCCTCCCCTCCCTGGGCACAGAGCTGAGGGAGTTCCACAGACCAGGAGGGCAGGGGCAAGACGGTCTGGGGAATGGTGGGAGGTGTGGGGCGGGCGGTGGGTTTAAAATTGTTCTTTTTTTGGTTTTTTGTTTTTTCCCAACATTTTGTATTTTTAATAACATACACAATGGTTACCAGCCATATTCATAACAAAAGTTATTCATAAAATGTATCTAAAAATAACATTTTTTTTTCCTTTTCGGTGTGAAAAGCTTGAGAATGTCCCAGTGAGGGGGGTGGGTTGAGGAGAAAGAGGAGGCTGGAGAAGGGGGACCCTGGCTTCCCCACAGTCTGAAGCCCCGAATCCCCTCCATCCACCTGGGCTCCAGCACAACGCCTCAGTGGGAGCGGGGACCAGAGAGACCTGTCTGACACGGGCTGGGCTGAATCTCTGGGTTATGACATAGTGTTCCACTAAGTGAGGTCATGACATAATGGGGGTGGGGAAGGCTGAAAGAAAAGGGGGTGGGGAAAGAAACCAAAAACCAAACAATCCCCTTTCCCTGTCCTTACCCCACATCTCACCAGCCAAAGCTGGGAACAGAGAAGGGGTGTGTGGGTGCGGGAAGGGGACGTTAAGGCAACAGACTTCCTGACCTCACTGGCTGCCCTGGTTCCCCACCTTACACCTCTGCATCTAGGGGGGCCAGGGTGGGGGAGTGGGGAGGGGGCTGGGGGGTCCAGGGGAGGGGGCTCTGCCCTCTCCCCTCGAAAAATTCAGGCGCCCCCTGCCACTGTCTTGGCTCAGAGAGAGGCCTGGGGATTCTAAAAATGAGAGGGAATGATCAGAGCAAAACCGTTACGAACTATATAAATATGCATCTTAAATAGGCCTAAGAAATTAATTGTGGGAACCTCTGATAAACAGGGCAAGAAGAGGTGAGGGAGGGGCAGGTGTTCCTGTCCTCCTGGGATGGGGACAAGGAAGAAGTTGGAGAGGAGAGACGGGGTTCTCCTCACCCCACTGCCTTCCGCAGGGCCTCTCGATAATGCTGCGGAGAGCAGGCTGTCTACCCCAACTCTCCTCCCCAGTGTCAATGCTTCTGCGCAGGCTCCGCGAGGGCGTGAGTCAGTTTGTCTCTGGGGTGTCTGCTCCCCTGGGGAGACTGGGCTGGGCGGGGATGAAGATGGAAGGAGGTGGAGACGGTCTGGCCAGTCCCTGCCCCCCTTCCTGGCTGCCCCTACCTCCCCCGGCCTCAGCAGAGATCCCGTGACGGGCCTGGGCGTGAGCAAGGCGGGTGCCAATGTTAAACAAAAGTTAAAAGGTGAGAAGAGTAGAAAAATATTAGAATGTATAGCTGAGCCAGCCCACCCTCTCGCTGTCGCGGAGAAGCCCGTTGCGGGCTGGCCCCCGCCCGCCGCCCAGGGAGCCTATGGGTGCGCTGGGCTGTGGGTCCTGTCAGATGGTGGAGGTTTTGTCTGTCCCATCTGTGGTGAGAAAGGGAGGAAGGGAGGAAGATCAGGAGCTGGGGGGCGGTCCGAGCACAGGCGCTCACGTAGCCTGTCATCCCAGCCAGGCCCTCCCTGGAGTCCCCCAGGATGGCTCAGAGGTGAAGACGCTGGGTAGGTGGGAGCTGGGTCAGGGGAAGAGGAAATGCTCACCACCCAAGGCGTGTTCTGTCATGCTCAGACACAGAGACTCCAGAGTGGGATTGATCTCCAGGTCAGGCCCAGGGACCGGGCAGTCTGGACGGAAAGAGGAAAACAGAGACGGTGAGGATGGGACCGGGGTGGAGAGGAGGGCCAGGGAGACAAATGATGCGGATGGGCTCGCTTGGCGGAACGGCTGCGAGAGGAAGGGGGTATGTGAGAGAGATTTCTTGGGAGAGGGGAGAAGAGGCCAGAAACAGAGAAACAGTGTACGTGAGACCTGCACAGGCTCCGAGGGCAGATGACTGGGCAGAGACAAGGCCTGGGCGCATCACAAAGCAGGCAGAGGGGACAATGGCAAGGGCAGAGAGGAAGCTGCCTGGCAGATGGAGGAGGTGATGTGAAGCTAAGAGGGGTTTCCTGGAGCCCACGCACAGGCTCCGACTACTTTGGACACGCTGCACGTGGCCTTGGGCACGGTTTGGGTATCTGCCTGGACACCGGGCAGCCCCGCAGTCCCTGATGGATGACCTGCTGAGTACTGGGGGTTGGATCTCAATCAAAACCTTTCCTGTCCGCACTGGGACTTGCTCTCTGGGAAGGTGGGGCGAATGAGGACAGCGGCCATGGTATTTGTCCTCAGGCTGCCTCTAAAAAGGCCTCACGCTCTGGCATCTGGGAAAAGAGCCACCTTCAGGGCAGACCCGGCCCACCCCACACCACTTAAACAACTTCCTCGGCCCCTCACTGCCATCTGGAAGAAGTATGAGCTTTCTACCTGGGTTTAGAAGACCCTCCTCACCTCTCCAGCCCCACTTTTATCACAGTCCCACCTGAAGCAGGAGCCCTGGCCATATGAAACCAACCACCTGAATGTCTCACCTTAAAAAAATTTTTTTTTTTTAAACTTGTGCAAGTCCCCGTTCTGAGGCTCAGCTTCCCGGCTGATAAGATAGGAATAATATCAGTGCCAAAGAGCCCTGGTGGAGCAATGGTTAAGTGCTCGGTTCTGAACAGAAAAGGCTGGTGGTTCAAACCCACCCAGCGGCTCCACGGGAGAAAGACCTAGTGACCTGCTTCCATAAACATTATAGCATAGAAAACGCTATGGGGCAGTTCTACTCTGTCCCACGGGGTCACTATGAGTTGGAATTCACTTGATGGCATCCGACAACAACATCAGTTCCACCGCAGATGCAGTCGGGAGGACGCAGTACACGGCAGGAAAGCCGCTGACGCAGTGCCCAGCACAGAGCCGGCAGAAAGAACTGTTCTTATTTTTTGCTCCTACAGTTAATGCCACCATTCATTTAACAATTGCTTATGGATGCCAAGCCTTCTGCTCAGAAGTCAGCAGCAAATCTGAAGACCCTGACCTTTCCAGAAGCAGCCCGTTCCAGATCAGCCTTCTGTCTCTGTCTCCCAAGTGCTCAGCATAAGGTCAGGATTCACCCCTACTAGGTGAGCAAGGCAGGGACCTGTGGCCCTTTTGCCACACCAGCCCTGATTCTGATTTCCCATCTCTGGGCTGGTCTATGAACAAAGAAGGTAAAACAGCTCTCCCCCTCAAATACCTTTTAGGAGAACGCGGTCCAAGAGCTGAAGGCTACCAAGATTATGATGGGGAGAGGGAGAAAGAGGGGGAGAGGGGGAGAGGGAGAAAGAGGGGGAGAGGGGGAGAGAGAGAGAGAGAGAGAGAGAACGGAGATCACAGCAGCAGAGAAAGGCTGGCCAGGGAGGGTGCCCTGCAGAGTCCCCAGGGCAGGGCGTCTCACCTGGAGGAAACATGAGAATGGCCTGGGGCGACGAGTGGACTGGGAGCGAGTGGGTGCGCTGCACGGAGCTGCGGCTCTGGCTGGGCATGCTGTTGCTGCCTCCAGGGTTGGCAAACCACAGGTTCTGCGCGGGGTGTGGGTAAGAGAAGGCACTGGGTGAGCGGGAAGAGCCCCCCCACCCAAGTGGGGTCCAGACGCAGAGATAAAGACACACATATCCCAGGCACTGCCACCCCAACCCTGGAAGTGCCAGACCCTCTGCTTAGAGCTGGCTCACCTGTCGGCCCTGGCCCCCAAGGCTGGGGCTGGTGAGGCCATGTCGGGGGGAGACACCCCCAATGCCCGAGGGGCTCAGGAGGCCCATCCGGCCGGGCGGGAGTGCCCGGGGAGGCATGGGGAACTGCCGCTGGGTCCGCCGGGCCACCCCCATCCCCACAGAGCCAGCTATGGGGAGCGAGTTGGAGCCGAATGCCCAGCTGTAAGGGAGCAGAAGGCGGGGTGTCAATTTAGGTGGATGGGGTCCACCTGTCCACCCCTCCTTATCCCCGGCCCCCCAACCCCAACAAGTAGGACAGAACATGAACCTCCTCTGAACAGGGCTCCCTGATCCCTGCCCACATCCCTGCATCACACAGTCTGACTCCTCTGACCCAAGAATGTCCCCAGGAAGGCTTCCCCACTGTCCACTCAAAGCACTTCTCCTAACTTCAGTGCTGAAGTACAGTATGTTCACTATTTGTCTGGGGTGGGAAGAGACTTCAGGGCTCCCCGCAGACAGGTGAAGAGAACAAGGTACAGGCCAGGGACCTGCTATGGAGAACGTGGGTTGTCCTGTGCCAGCTCAGCGTCCCACGCTAGTGGGAAGGGCCCCAATTTTCTTCTGGGGAGGCACCTGTCTTCACTGGGCGACTTGTGTGAAGTCACCCAGTGAGTGAATGAGTACAGCCAGACCCCCAGCCCAGAACGCAATCAGCCCTTCAGCTGCCGCCCCGTCAGCCAGGGTTGACAGGCCCTACGCCGGGCCGCCCGCTCACCCCTTCTGCTGCCGGTAGTTCTGCATCTCCAGGGTGGCTTTGCGAGGGAACGTCCGCAGGAGCTTCAGCACCTGCTGTTTCCAGGACAGCAGGCGTTTCTTCTGCGTCCCCGTGAAAGCCTAGAATGGGGCGAGGCGGGGGGTCTGCCTTCTACTCGTTCACTCAAATACTGACCGTGTGCCTGCTCTGTGCTCCCGGAGCTTGCCGTTTGGCCGGGGGGAGGATACACGGGTAACTACAGCTGTGCTAAGTGCTGGGTGGGAGATGCACGGGAGGCTCGAGAAACGTGGACTAGTGTGAGGGGCCAGTGGAGCGTTCCTGAGGCAGAGATGTTCGCGATGAGAGCTGAGGGGCGAGGAGGAGGGAAGGGCACTGTTTCCCAGAGAAGGAACATGTACGACAGCTCCGAGAAGAGCGAGCCCCGGGTATTCAATGAACCCAACACTGGTGAGATGAGAGGCTGGCGAGGCAGGCAGTGCCGGGTCAGGCAGGGCCCTGCTAGATAAGTAAGCAATTTTGGACTTGAGAGCGATGGGGCATCCAGAGAGGGCCTCACCTCATGAGTCAGGCACTTTTCGATGAGCTGGAGGTAACTGGTGATGTTCTCCTCGTCTGGCCGGGACACCAGCAGCTGGGTGCACACTGAGGGTCATGGGAAAGTGGGGGAGGTTAGCCCCCAGCCTGCCCTCTGCCATGCGCCAGCCTCCCCGGCCCCAGCTGGCTGATACAGGAGGAACAGGAAACCCAGGCTGGATAAGCACCAACTAAGTGCCAGGCACCTGCACCTGGGTAACCACGAGGCTACTATGAGATGTAATGCCACCACCACGGTGCCTGGCACAAGGCAGTAAGAAGTCGGTAATACTTGTCTCAAGCGAACTCTAAACAACTTTGTCAATGTGGTATCTTTACCCTGAGGAGTCTGAGGCTCAGAGAGGTTAAGTCACTGCCCCCAGGTCACACAGCTGAAAGGATCCAGACGCACCTGTGAAATTCACTATGTCATACTGCCTTAGGAAAGACCGGGCCCACTATGAGCTTCAAATACCCATCCTGTGGACTCGGTGCCCTCTGGGAGAACTGAGAGATGCACCTTCATCTGTTCACTGGATGCATTTCCACTTACACATTGTCCTATCTGCCTCTCAGGCCAGAGATGCTCTGAGGGTCAGGGCTGTCTCCGCCCATCAGCCTGGGCACTCCCTAAGGGCAGGGCCTTAGCCACTCTCTGCAGTGTTCTAGTCTACAGGTGCTCTAAAAGCCCTGCTTCCAGCACCTGGCTTTCGTGTGGCTCCTGAGGCCTGGCTTCATGTGATCCTGCCCTAGGACCTCCTGCAGTGCTCTGGATGGCCTCACCTTTGCCCATCACCCGTGTAAACTGGCTGGGGATGTCTCCGTCGGCGACAGGAGCCGGGGCTGGTTCATTGCCATCGGTGGGAGCCGGAGTTGGTGGAGGTGGGTAGCTCTCTGCAGCTGAAGGGTCTTTGGCCTCAGTGCCCTTGTCTGTGCTGGAATGGGCCAGGGGAGGCTCGGCACCCGGCAGCGGCAGCTCCCCCCGGCCCCCGTCCTTGGCAGTAGGGGTGGCAGCAGCGGCAGCAGCCACGGTGGCCTGGAGGACGCTGTAGGCCTTGATGGGGGTGATGATGATCTGCTGCAGCTCCTGCAGAGCATTTCGCAGATTGCCACCTTCCAGCACATCCTGGGGGGTGGGGGGCGGTGGAGATACAGCCAAGTGTCACATGCAGACTCCCAGAGCTAGGCACAAAGAATGACTAGACACGTGGGGTCAGACAGGGCCTAGAGAGGCTGGGTGGGCCTGGGTTCCAGCACACACAGAAGACGGCTAAGGGTACCGCAAGCGCCGCATATATGCAGGGACACACTGGTACGCGCACAAACCCTCCCTCCTCTCACCGTGGAGGAGAAGGTGGTTTAGTGCTAGGGCCTCAGGATCCCACCAAGGACACAACCAGATTCAGACCCAGAGGTGAGACCAGACACTCAGGGGAGAAAGAGAAAACAGAAAAGGCAAGCAGCAGCGAGAGGGAAAAGGAACACAAACAGAGGCAGGTATGGAAGGAGAGCGAATCAGAAACCAGGGCTTCCAACTGCTTCGTTCTGGTTCCAGCTACTGCTGAGAATCTGAATTTCCATCCCAGATATACTGAATCAGAGTCTACACTTTAATACGATCCCCAGGTGATTCTTACGTACAGTAAAATCTGAGAACTACTGCTCCACTAGTGTTCTCAGAATTGGTCCCTAACGAGCAGCATTAGCATCACCTGGGAACCCATTAGAAAGACAAATTCTAAGCAGGGGTTTGAACCGGAACGAATGAGTGTGAAGCCCTGCCAGAAACAAAAAATGGAAAGAGATCACGGACATAGGGAAACACTCTGCTCTACCAGAACCACCAGTCAGAAATGGAAAAAAGGAGCTGAGTCAAAAACAGAGGGACATTCTGGAGATGGAGACCAAGACAGAGAGGGACAGGCCAGTAACCCTTTGAATGTGATTTGCACCTGGGAAGCCAGCTCCCTGGGGCTGGAGACACCCAGCAAAGAAGCTACCTCTGCAGTAAGGTGACCCAGAGGCTGGTCTACTGGTGCCACCGGGTAGTCAGCTGGCCTCAGAGATGGGATTAGCAGGCCCTCACCTTCTCTAGGGACTTGAGGACACTCTGCCTCTCTCGCAGCTTCTGGATGCTCAGAGCTATCTTGTGGCGGGCACCTTTGGTGACATTCTGTGGTAGAGGAAGAAGGGGACAACAAGCTGGGAACAGAAGGCTGAGGTACTTAGGGGTGCCCCAACAGGGACTGAAGAGACGGAGGAGGCTCGGGCTGCGAGTACTGCTGAAATGGTACTGTCCCCATCACCTCCCTGGTGGTCCCCTTGGTGTCACCTGAGACTCCAGGTGCTGTTCAGTCAGTGTCATCATCTCCTCGTAGCTCATCTGGGAGAAGAGGGCCGCGTACTTGTGCAAGCGGAGGCTCTTGAGCCAAGAGGGCACATCTGCGGAGAAGGGAGAGTGAAAGGTCAGGAGTCTGGCCCTCGTGACCAGGGCAGAGAGGACCGGAGGGCTGGACCAGGCAGAAAGCACAGACACCCTAAAAAGCCGCAGAAAATTGGAAGGAAGTCAAGGGCCCATGAGCTACTTCCATCTGCTCAGCCAGGCCCGTCCAGGCCCTTCCCTGATCAGGACACCCTACCCTGCTTGGCAGGACCCCTTCTGCGCTGGCTGATGACATGTGTGCTAGGCTGAGACCACATGTCTCTAAAAGTTCCTGGAACTTTGTCAGTTACCTCTGTGTCCAGGTTTCTTGTCAAACTGGGGTCTGTAAGGGCAGGGGCTTCTCCCATTACACCAGGGTCTATGGGGGTAGAAGCAGGGTCCCTCTGCTCAGTCTTGAGCCCTAAGGGCAGGGAGTGTCCACTCCCCTCAGGCCAAGGGCCCAGGCCTCAGAGGGACAGGCAGGGTGGTGGTCAGGGGCTTCCTTCTGTCCTGGGGGCTCTGCAGAAGGCCCTGGAAGGGGTCCTGGTGCTGCCTTCCCAGGTAGTACCTACCTTTCATGCCACTGCCGTCCTCCTGGAAGGTGTTCCGGCTGGAGCCCTGCTCCTCCGTCTGCTCACTGCCAGAGGAGGCCACGCTGCTCTGGGGCGAGAGGGGCGCGTGGTCGGACGTGCTGAAGGCAGCCCGGGCCCCGAGCTCTTCTGGACTGGGCCACTCACCAGGGCCCGGTGGGCTCGTAGGGATGAGTGACATGGAGCGCTTCAGTGGGTTGGGGTGGATTTGGCAGGGGAGACCTGGCAGGCGGCGGGACAGAGCAAGAGGGAAGTCAGGCTTGGAGGTCTGACCACAGGAGACCATGCCTTCCTGGCTCCTCCCCACCGGCCAGTGCCACAAACGGTGGCTCAGCTCCAGAGGTCCTCCAAGGGACCTGGAGTCTGAGGGGAACTGCCCACCAGATACTGCTCGTCCAGTCACCCCCCGACACCCAACCTATCAGCAAGCTCCGTCAGCCACTTCTCGCAATCCCTCCACTTCCTCTGCTGGCCCTGGCCTGAGCCACAGCCTCCTCACTGGTTCCTGGCCTGCATTCTCGCCTCCTGCAGTCCACCCACCTCACAGCAGACACACTGATCCTTCTAAACATGCAAACCTCATCAAGTCAGTCCCCTGCTTCAGTCCCACCTGTGGCTTCCCGTCATGCTGATCAAATCCGAATGCTTCCACACGCCTGTTAAGCTCTGTGGGACCCGGCCCCTCTCACCTGACATCTCCTATCCCACCACTCACTCCTGGCTGACACCTTTCCAGCACCCCCGCCTTCCCCCCACCATTTGTTCCTGAACACCCAACCTTGTTTCAGCCTCAGGGCTTCTGCACTTGCTCTTTCTTCCTGTCCTCCTGGTCTCAGCAGTCAGCTCCCTCAGGTCACCTCTTCCCAGAGGCCTTCCCTGACCGCTCAACCTGAAGTAGCTGCCCCCCTGCACCAGGCGTGTTACTCTATCACACGACTGTTCTATCTTTCTCACAGCACCTGCTGCAATGTGAAATCACCTGATTTAGTTGTCTGCTTACTTGCTTATTAGCTGTGTCCCCCTGCAGGAATGGGAAAGCTGTGCTGGCAGGGACCTAGCCCGTCTCCTCAGGATCAGAACGGGGCCTGGCCCAGAGGAGTGGCTTCATCAGCACTTGTAAAGTCAGCGAGTGAAGGATACCAACTGCTCCCTCAACACCCGCAGCTGCTGGGCCTCACTGCCTCCCAAAGCTTTTTCCTGCACCGAGTCAAAACTGGCCACCCACGAGGCCCAGCCACTCACAGTGAACCCAGGCCCTCTTTCACAGGACATTTCACACCTCCAACCATCCCATTCGTGAGGTAGGCAGAGGGGTCCAACTTAATTTTCCACCGCTCCCCGAACGGAGCAGGATCCATGAACCTCCACACGGCTGCACATTTCTCCTCTCTGCCTAGCTCACCGTTCTACCTTTGCCCACCAGCTGCTTCAGCCTCAGAGCTTCTGTGAGTCCCTCCCCTGCGTCCCCTCAGCCTCTACAATGCTGCCTCAGGCCCAGCACTCACTGCCCTCATCAGCCTGCCTCTCCCACTGGATTGTGGCTCCTGTAGGTCAGCCATCCCACCCATCACTTCTGAGACCCCAGGATCGGGACCAGAAGCCCTCAAACAGTGCTTTGGAAAGGACAAAGGAAGGCACCCACAATCCTAAGGATGGTGGGGGGCCTTTGAGCACAACACAGGGAATCCAGAAGCACCCCAACTCAGCCTAGAGAAAAAGAAAATGAAACACAGCCCAAAGTCCCCAGCCCTGGGTAGGTGGGAAAAATCACTTTGGAAGCCCTTTGCCCCAGTTCCCACAGGGAGTTAGAAGGCGGAGACGGAGGCAGCCAGGCTCCTCTCTGACGGAAAGACTAGGACTTCTGCCAGTGCCCCACTGACCCCCAGGCCCTGCAGGCGTGCAGGCCCACAGGCACTTTCCCTCCTCGGTGACAGTACTTATGCTCCTAGCCAGGAAGTCACCTGAGGGAGACGGCAGTGCACTGACCTGCCCCGAAGGCCAGCCTCCGCCCGTCTGACTTCTGGAGCCCTGTGCCCGGGGCTCATTCCAAGCCTCTTAGCCTGGCTTCCATCCCCACTCAGGAGTGTGGGGGAGACGGCACACTCTGGGCCCAGGGGAATCCTGAATACAGGCCCCTGTGCCTGTCCTGGTGTCTCTGGCCACCTCCTGGGCAGGCGAGGCTGAGGGCAGGAAATTACCCTGACTGGAACGATCACGCAGTTCCTGAGGAGCCCCGCTCGGCCTCGCACTGGGGTGGAGACTGGCCACAGCGTGAGAATTATAAAAACAGGAATGCCGGCCGCAGCTCCAGTGCCTCACACTCTCCAAGAAACCCTGGTCTGTCCTTGGCAGCACCCCAAACCCACCCTGCCTGCCCTCACAGGCCAATCCTTGCTCCCCACTCAAAAATATTTTAATGGTTTCCTGTTTCCTCCAACTGCCTGAAATCCAAAAGCCTCATCCTGTCCTTCATGGCCCCCCAGAATTTGGCCCTAACCTACTGAGGTCTGGGAGTCAAGACAGACCCGAGTTCAAATCCTGACTCTGCCACCTATTAACTCTGAGATCTTGGACAAGTCACTTCATCTGCCTCTCTGCCTCCTTGTGAAGTCCTCAGCACAGGGACAGGCACGTGGGAAACACCAGTGTTTGCTACGACTAGTACTCATTCAAACCCTCACATTGCTCCCCATTCCAGCCAGATGCGTCTGCATACTGTCCCCTCCAATGTGACACCCGTGTGCCTTCAATTCACGCTGTGCCCTTTACTCAGAACGCCCAATTCCCTTCTCTCTTCTGGTCCAAACCTCCCCATCCAACACTGTGCAAGCCTGGTCCTTTAGTAGCTGCTGCCCCATCATGGGGAGCCCTGAAGGTGTGAGGAGAAACAAATTTATGGGGACCCTACTTGGGTGAGTCCTGTGAGGCTTGAGCATCTCTAGGAGGTCACTTTCAGGTGGAGGCAGTGGAGCACAGGGGTCAAGAATATGAGCTCTGGAGCTCAGCTACCTGGATTTAAATTCTGGCTACACCACCTTGGGCGAGTGACTTTTCTGTACCTCAGCCAATGAGTTTAAATGTTTAAAGTTCTCAGAAAAGCTCCTGACAAAGGCTAAGTGCCACATATATACATACGTGTGTGTGTGTGTAATTCCTGATCCTTGTTATCACCGAATTTAGTTCGAAATAAAATAACAGTGTGGGCTCAATAAGACATATCTGTAAGTCAGATGGAGCCCTGGTGGCACAGTGGTTAAGAGCTCGGCTATTAACCGTAAAGGTCGGCACTTTGAATCCACCAGCCGCTCCTTGGAAACCCTGTGGGGCAGTTCTACTCTGTCCTATAGGGTTGCTATGAGTCGATATCGACTCAACAGCAACGAGTTTGGTTTTTTGAGTTTTGTAAGTCAGATCTGGCTCTGGGGCTGCCAGCTCACAAGCTCTGTGCTACCTCATAAAGCTGAGGCCCAGAGAGGCTGGGATCTGCCTGAAGCCACAGAGCGCGTGAAGACAGAGCCCAGCCTCATCCAAGAAGAAGGCCTCCTGGGGCCTCCTCCCTCTCACCTGCGTTTGCATTGCTCCCAATACTGTTGATGGTTGACGGCACTGAGCTGGGTGGGTGGAAGGGCACGTGTCCATTTTCCCGGGGTGGCTTGTCCTGCCAGCCGGATCCTGCCTCCCCAGGACCCAGCTCTGCAGGGCCCCCCCACTCATCTGAGCCCTGGCGCAAGTGGTAGGTAGGTTCAGGCCGGGTGCGGAAGCCGCTAGCCAGCCGCTCTTCCAAGTGGCTCAGCCAGAGGGCCAGTGCATTGCGGTCCTCCAGGGTGGTGGCCGGGTGGATGAGGGCATAGGAGAGCAGCTGGCGGCTCTCTTCGATGAAGGCATTGCTCTCAATGGAGTAGGCCAGCACTTTCTGCAGCAGCCTCATGTACTCTGTCTTGGCCTCTGTATTGCCCGGCTGGAGCAGGGGCAGGTGGGACAGCAGGAGGGACACCACCTTCTCTTTGGACTCCTGCTGCCACTGGCTGACGATAGCTGCAGAGGGAAGGAAAGGGAACGTCAGGGGAGTGGATGGCGCACAGCTACAAACCCAGGCGAGCTGCCTGTTCCCTCAGGCCCCATCTTCTCTCCTTCTCCTTTCATGACCCATGACCTTGTCCCTCTTATCACCCCTATACCTTAAGGCGAAATCAAATACACTTGCTCTGCCTCCAGAGTATGTTCTCTTGGTTCTACCACTCCTGCTCTCAAAAACCTGCTGTGGCTCCCCATCAGCCAAACTTGCTGTCCTGGAATCGGAGCTTCTCCTGCTGCCCCAGGCCTCTTCCTACGGCCGCATCTCCCCTCTTGATCTTCAGGGCCTCAATCTCCTTCTCCCTGACTAGCAAGACAGTCTCCTTCCTGACTGGGGAAGGCAGTGGAATACAGTGGTTAAGAGCTTGGGCTCTGGAGTCAGATGGTCTGAACTCACCAACTTAGTAGCCGGACCTTGGGCAAGTCACCTTGAACCTCACTAAGCACTGATTTCCTCACCTGCAAAATTTTGGAGATAATTCCAACATCAACTCACAGTGCTGTTCTGGGATTCAGTGAGCTAATAAAGAATGGAAAGTGGCTTGGCATGTAGAGCATACTTGATAAATGCTGTTGTTTTTAAAATGGTCTCCCTGCCTTGAGATTCTCCCCCTCCAGTCCGTCCCATACACCCAGATGGATTTATCCTTCTAAATCACACCAGGATGTCATGTTCCTGGCCAGGATTTACAATGGCAACCCAGCATCAACCGAGTAAAGTCCAAGCACTCCCAGGCCAACATCACCTTCATTTCCAGGGCACTCCCTGCCTCCTGCTCCTCCAGATAAAGACCCAGCTCAGGAAACCCGCATCTTCCCTGGAGCTCTCTATACGCCATTCATCCCAGCATCCACACTCCGGCTGAGAGATTCAAGGCTTCAGCGTGGAACGGTCTCCTCCCCCTGTCCAAGTTCTATGGGGACTGCCTATACCCGCTGTCTTTTGGGAAGCCTCCCCAGGCTGCTCCAGCCGTGAAGATCTGCTGACCTTGCCTTCCTAACCTGTGGATATGACCTCAATTTCCCTTCTTGCCCAGAAGGGAGTTCCCCAAGAGTAAGACCCCCGGCTGGCCTTGGGAAGAAACTCTTACAGGTCTGACTGAACTAGCCAGAAGTTACCACTTCCACAACTAGCTTAATGGAGTGGAGGACTGGGGATAATGCTGACGGGGCACAGCAGAGGGACAAAAATATCAATACTTAGGAAAAGAGACAATAATCAAAGGCTGGGACCAACTCTACCCTTGATTTGCGAATACCTCACAACAAGGGTGGTCTGAGAGATGTGCTATTGGTGAGGTCCTGGAAAGGGGCAAAGGAGCTGGCTCTAACTGGACAGAGCTAAGACCCCAGAGTGGTGGGTGATGACAAAGGACAGGCAGAGATGTGGCTTCCTTCCTTCCTTCACTACATACTGACCATGTGATCTGGGGCACGTGAGCACGCCACTGAGCTCTGTTCTCTTCACGTGTAAGATAGGGCTCACAATCATTCCTACCTGACGTGGCTGCTAGAAGCTCGGGACCATAAGTACAAAGTGCGGCGCAAAGTAAGTCCTCAGTAAACATCAGCTATTACTATCCTCACAATGACTACATCTTATTTTGGCTCCTTCTTTGCAAATATACACAGAGATTCTAAAGGCACATGCCAACCTCCAGCCCAGTGAACAGAGAGGCTAGGAACGGGGACATATGAAGAGAGTGTCAGAAGTCCAGGCATCTGGGGCTTCAAGTGCTCCCCACCTGTCCCCAGTTTGGACCGCTCTGTACCCAACAGTGTCTCAACCCAACTGACTGAGGGCTTAAGACTCCAAACACCCGTGGTCTCCTTGTCCCACACTGCAGGCAGACACCTGTCCACTTGAGCCTTGCATGAAAACTTGAGGATGCCCCTTCTGCACTCCTCTTTCCCTTAATGACCTGTTTGAAAGTCTGTGTTCTGGGAATTCAGATAGACTTTTAATTCTGCTTAAATTTGTAACCTTGGGAAAATGAATTGCACGAAACTCCCAACTCCTGTCCATGTAAACTGAACATTTTCTTGGCCTGGGCCTTCCTGCTCCAGGATTTCTGAGAACTTTTGTTAAGGTGCCCAGGAATTCATTCATTTATTCAACATCACCAACTCATGCTATGCACACAGCATTGGCCAAAATTAATAAAAGAACGAATAATAATAACAGCACTGCCAAAGGCAACAATGAGTAATAACGCATAGCACTTACCAAGCATTTGCTGTATCTCAGAGACCGTGCTAAGAACATCACTGCTTTTCATCCTCGCCTCAGCGCTGTTTTTAGCACCCTCATCTTGCAGATGAGAAAACTGATTTGGGAAGGTGAAGTCACTTCCCTCAAGTGACAAAGCCAGTCAGATCGGAATCCAGGTCTGTCTGCCTCCAGAACTGGAAGGGACTTTTAACCACCTCACTTTACCTCTCCAAGCCAAGTCTCTCTCCCATGCACCGCTCCTGGCTTTCCAGTTCCCTTTTAGTATCTGCTGCTCAAGGTTAGGAAACCACCTCCCCTCCTACTCTCTTCACTTGAATCAGCTCCCCAGAACCGTGACACTGTCCCTTAGGCCATCTCTACATCTAAAGATTTTCCCCAAATCAGGAAGCCTGTGCCCTTCCTGCTCTCCGATCTCCATCTGGCACTGGATCACATGGAAGGACCCCCCCAGTAACCTCTTGCTCTGACTTAACCCCCAAATTTTTAGTTCTTGAGGAGAAGGAAAAAGAAATAGGATAGAAAGTCAAGGATTTCCATCCCAGCTGTGTCATGTAGCTGTTGGGCAATAATGCTTCCTCCTGTGTAAAACAGGATTATAGAGCTGCTGAGAAGACTTAAGGAACCCTGCAGCCCTGGTGGCGCACAGCCCTGCTGGCGCAATGGTAAAGAGCTCGGCTGCTAACCAAAAGGTCTGCAGTTCGAATCCACCAGCCGCTCCTTGGAAACCCCATGGAGCAGTTCTACTCTCTCCTGTAGGGCAACTATGAGTCGGAATCGACTCAACAGCAGTGGGTTTGTTTGGTAGCGCAGTGGTTAAAAGCACTCGGCTGCTAACCAAAAGGTCGGCAGTTCGAACCCACCAGTGGGAGAAAGACTGCTTTCATAAAGATTTACAGCCTTGGAAACCCTACGGGTCGCTATGAGTCAGAATCGACTCAACAGCAGTGGGATTTTGGTTTGAGAAGAGTTAGGGAGAAGATGCACGTAAAGCACCTGAGAGTCTGCCCAGTGGAAACCCGCAGTGTATGTGGCTCAGTGATTGGCATTTCTCTCCCTTCTTCCCCAGCAGAGCCACCCTATCCCTTCACCCCTACCCTGATGTTCTCAATCACTGTTGTTTAGGCCTTGCAGGGTAGCCAGAGGCATCTGGGACAGAGAGAAGCCTTGTCTGGCCCCTCCCCCATCCCAGCGTACTGCCAGGACCCCAGAGCTAAGGGACACAGCTTCTCTTCTGGTACTGCCAGGGTATGTGACAGAACAGCACCAAGGGCTGGGCTCAATAAAGGATCTTGTTCTACAGAGGAGAAAGGGGAGAGTGGACGAATGGAGACTGACCCTGGGGAAATGCCTTCATGTGTGTGGTGGCAGCAGCGGGGAGGGCGGGCCTCCGAAGACTGGGAAGCATCAGTGAGCACTGGAAGTGTTCCAAGGAATTTGCGCAGCCTCAGGCCCCTTGGGGTGAGCCCAGCTGGGGCTGCAGATGACGGGTGGGGATGGAACTAGTTTCCTGCCCAGATCAGAAATGTCTGGCCCAGCGTTGAGGCACAGCAGGGGCCCAGTGAATACCTGAATAATTGAACTCAGATGGTCCCCTGGAAGGTAGCGGTGTCTATGTGTGCATAATGTGCCCTCTCTAGGATCCCATCTCAGGTCACCCTCTCTCACGTCCTAGCAGAAGACACTGATTAAAAGCACAAGTTCAATAGGCAAACTTGCATGGATTCGAAATCCAGCTCTGCTATCAGGACCTAGGTCAGTGTAACTGTGGGCTAGTCTTTACTCTCTGAGCCTTACTGTCCTCATCTGTACAATGGGCTGCCGTAGATAAATGAGACATTCGTCCAAGGCACCTGGCACGTGGTAAGCGCTCACTACGCTGTAAATATCGTTGTTGTTTTTTCTGGTCAAAGATCTAGCACTCAGGCTGTTTCAGGACTGGGGGGAGCTGTTCACATAGGAGAGCACATCTGGGCCCCCCCTTAAGATTTCCGACAGGGGTGGGGGATTTCACACAGCTATTTACCACAAACAGACATGTCTCCGGCTTCTCTGAGCTGAAGGCACAACAAGCGAGGATAACATTCTGGAGGTGGGTGGTCGGGAGGGGGGCCGGGGAATGCCGTGAGGCCAATGGCCGCTTCTCACCAAGCTGCAAACCTGGCCTTGGCAGGCGTGAGGGGAGGAAGGAGACTGAGTATGAGTGGCCTCCTTGGCTACAGTGCAACAGAGGCAGGGCTGGCCAGGTGACCAGAGCTAAGGAGGTCACGACCCTGGTCCTGGCAAACCACAGGAACCAAATATATCTTCGAGACTGTCATAAGAGCAAACCCATTTTTAAGTGCTGGGCTGTTGCAAGAGATGTGGCAGGTCAAGGCAGCAGCTGGAGGGGCTGGGGTTTGGCCCTTCCTTCTCTGTCTCACCCCAGCTCTCACAGGCAGCGGGGAGGGCCCAGGGCTCACATTTTTGTTTGATGAACGGTGTCAGTAGAGCCTAAACGGAGAGGGTGGAGGCACCAGGGCTGAGCTCTGGTGACTCACGCAGCCACGGCCCCCTCCTGACCTCAGTTTCCCCACTCAGATCCAGTGAGCCAGAGTGGGGAGGGGCTGAAACGTGCTGGGTATGGGGATTCTGACTCAGAGGACAGGAGGAGGGAAGAAATGCAGGGAATGTGGCCCAGGAAGCTACAGGGCCAGGGAGAGAAGGGGATTTCAACTCCTCTGGCCCATCTTCCTGTGCACTGGAACACCCTTCTGGTACAAATCAGCGTAACGAAGAAAGGGCCAGAATTACCATTACAGCTCCCAACGGGAAGGGAAGACAGCACTGGATGAAGGGTTAGGGATAATGACGAGGGAAATCTGGGGCCTCTCTTTCCCCGTTCTGGGAATCTTTGGGGTATTGCTGTTCTGCTCCTGGGTGTTGCCTCAGATTCTGTCTCCCTGAAACCAATGCCTGCTGCCTGGGTTGGGGGACTTCCCTACATCCTCTCAGCTGCTGGAAAAGCCCAGGGCAGAGCCCCCTTTCCACAGCTGTGAGCCCTGCCCCAGTAGGTCACATGACAGTGCCATTACCCCCTCCCCGGGTCCACCCAGAATCAGTGTCAGCATCAAGACAAGTGTTTCTCTACTCTGGGTGCCCGTAAGAGTCAACTGGGGAACTTTAAAAAATATCAGACTCTCTGGGGATAGGACCTAGATCCCAGATGCCTTCTGAGATGGTCCCTGGGTGATTCTAACCTGGGTTGAGAACCACTCACTGAGGTCAATCCCTTTGTGCTCCCCGCCTTTCTGAGGAGGACAAAGGCAGGTAGCAGCTCTGACCCAAACCTAGAATTCAGGTCTCCCTGGGAGAACTGGAGGAAAGAGCAGTGTTGGGTAAGTGGGGCGTGGAGATACAAACCTGGGAAGGGCAGGGGATTTGGCCCACTATTCAGCCCTCCTGGCTTGAAGGTCTCTGACAAGCTGAAGAAAGGCTTTGGTGGTGGGGGAGGACGATCCTGTAATGGTGGCTCTTAACTGGGGACTGGTGGACCGACTGAACTCAGGACTTGGTGTATGCGATAAGCGTGCATCTTTTTTTGCGGGGGGAGGAGGGAGGCTGAGGAGAAACAGAGGGGCAGATTCTGAGGGGCCCATTGCATAAAATATTACGAACTGCTGCTTTAGAAGAATGTGCTGGGCCTAAAACAAAGAAAGTAACATGCTGAGCTATGGCTCTGCCATCCACTGGCACAGTTATTTTGGAGCCCAAGAGGCATCTGCGGAGCACCCAAAATAACCCCCTCCCTGTCCAGATGGGGATCCACAGGCCCAAGAGGGGCAGGCCTCGCCCTGGTCACCAGAGGTGCTAGCGGCAGAGCTGCATCTAGGACCCCTGCTTGTTCCGATTCCTATCCTTGTGTCCCATGACAAATAAACCTTCTCTCGAAACTTCTTTCTCATCAGCATAACCTGGGCACTCATTCCGAGGCCCATCTCCTCAGGACTCTGATTCAGTGGGTCTGGGTGGGGGCCCAGAATCCGGATTCTGACAGTCATATCTAGGTGATTCTGATGATGAGGCAACTTTGGGAAACACAAGGGGACAGGAAGGGCTTCGTGAACAGAGGAGCAGAAGCAGACAAGGTACAGCTCCTCCCAAGAGCAGGACCCCAGGCCCAGGAAGCAGCTCCTTCCTTCCCAGATAACGCAACAGGGCTGCTCTAGGCGGGGGTGGGAGGGAGACAGGAGACACCAGCCTTCTTAGTTTTGGGGATCCCATCTCTACTAGGAAAGGCACTTCCTTAGCCCTGGCAGCACAGTGGTTAAGAGCTCAGCTGCTAACCAAAAAGGTCAGCAGTTCGAATCCACCAGCTGCTCCTCGGAAACCCTATGGGGCAGTTTTATTCTGTCCTATAGGGTTGCTGAGTCAGAACTGACTTGATGGCAGTGGGCTTGTTTTTTTTTTGGTTAGCCAGGCACTAAAGGTCCTCCAGAATTTACCTCTGTGACTATTTCTCTCCGAGTCATGCTTTGCTTCAGTCCTAGCAGACTTCCTTCCTTCCTGATCACTCTGGAACACACTAGGACTCTCCTTTCTTCCCTCAGGGTTTTCCCTATGTCTCCACCCACTTAGGACTAGTGTGGTCCCCACCTATGCTGGGAAGCCTTCCCTGACACCCAGCCCTCCATCAAACCTTCAGTGAGTAATCAACTGATCCACCAATCAGTGCCTCACTTATCTGTATTACTGATTTGGTACAAGGCAGGCACTTTCTAGGGTCACTATTATTCCTTCACTGCTCTGTGGTTCCCCCAAGTAGACTGTAAGCTCCAGAAAGGTTGGGACCCTTTCTTAGAAGCTTGTTACACTCTCAACACCTGGCATGGGGTGTGACTAAAGATCTTGACATCCCATGATACCCGTTGCCGTAGAGTCACTTCCGACTCATGGTGACCCTCCAGGACAGAGCAGAACTGCCCCATAGGGTTTCCAAGGCTGCAATCTTTATGGAAGCAGACTGCTACATCTTTCTCCCATGGAGCTGCTGGTGGGTTCAAATCTCCAACCTTTCGATTAGAAGCCGAGCGCTTAACCATTGCACCACCAGGGCTCCTATCTTGACTCATACATTCATTTAATTCATCATTCAATTCATTCCACAGCAGTTCTCAACCCTGGCTGGGTCTTACCTCCAATATCCCAGTCTGGGATGGGCGTCAGGCTCTGCTGTATAAATTGTACTATGTCTTTCGAGGGCAATGTGGTGAGAGCCAAGTATTTTAAATGCACATATCTTCAAACCAGCAGTTCCAGGGAATTTTAGGAATTTATCCTAGAGGTGCTCAAAGGGTATGCATTACAGCACTGCTTATAAAAGCAAGACTGGGAAAAGCCAGGATGCCCCTCAGTAGAGGACTGGAATACCACGCAGTAGAGCCTACTGGTCAAGAGCAAGAGCTCTGATGTCAAACTCCAGCTTCACCTCTACCAGCTGTAGGACCCCTTAACCTCTCAGGACCTCAGTCTCCTCATTTGTAAAATGGGAGAATAATATGGCCTGCCTTACAGAGCTCTTGTAAAGGAAGAATGAGTACCAAAAGTTAAGCACTTCTTGGCACATAGTATAAGAGCACAGTGAATGTTAGCTGCTCTTCTTATGCAGCCGTTAACAAGGATGAGGTACATACACAGGTGCTGAATACGGAATGATCTTCAAGTTATATTGTTAAGTGAAAAAAAGCAAACTGGTTAATATGCAGTGTTCTGCCACATGTTAAAACATTTAAAAAGCTGAAGGGAGGACATGCATGCATTTGTACATCCACAGAAGAGCTCACAAAGCAAAAACAAGAACCTGGGAAGGTGGGAGTCTGGATGGAAGGGAGACCTCACTTTTCATCTTTTGTATGGTTTTAATTTTACTACAAATATGACCTTTTCAAAAGCAAACAACTAAAAATGCTCAAATAACTAGCAACAAGCACCACTGGTGATTCTGATATGCAGCCAAGATTGGCACCCAGCAGTCATCTAAGTGCCTGCTCGGTATGGGGTGGTAGGGATGGGCGACCAAGCTGCCTAGGAGACAGGTCTGCCCCAAGGGACTCCCACTCTGGGGGCAGAGCCACACCACAAACAGAACTCACGGCCCTGGTGCCAGAGCAGAGGGGAGCCCTGCCTGCTTGGGGATGGTGGGGCTGTGTGTGAAATGGCTGAGCTCTGAGCCTGCTGCAGCTGAGGTGGCTTCTTACTGTCCAGTCTGCTAGGCTGGGAATTAAACCGGTGTGATTCTTGGCCTGAGTGACCATCTTCCCCCACAACCATGGTGCTTCTGTGACATGTACAAAAAACGGCAAAATAAAGGTGATTTCCTAAGTGGGTTGGTCTGGGGAAATGAGGGAAGCCAGGCAGCTCAGTGGCTGCCCAGATCCCAATCCCAGCAGCCCATGCTGGTTTCCTCATCTGTAAAATGGGGATAATGAGAGTACCTATCTCATGGGTTGTTGTGAGGACTAAATAAATAAAACAAAACCAAAACAAAGAAAAACAAACCAACAACTGACATTTCTTGAGCATGTATTAGTGCCAGGCGCTGTTCTAAGAGCCACACGTTAATCCAAGTTCTCACAACTACCCCGGACGGTAGTACAATCATCATGTTGATTGTAAAGATGACAAAACTGAGGCACGGAGAGGTTACGTCACATAGTCAAACCCAGACAGTCTGACTCCACGGCCACCGAAAAACACTACTTTCAGAGCTAACTTACCGGTAAAGACAGAACCTGGCATGCTGTAAGGACTCAGTGTGAACGACTATTAAGGGAAGAAGGTGGGAAGGGCCAGGGGGACTAATCTGGACAGACTCTGCATGGAACCCCTGGTCCCCTTCCCAGCTGGCTTTCAAGAATAACTACTCTCTCTCCCCTCTGGCCTCCCTCTCTCCCTGTCACCAGGGTCAACGACTCTCCATCCAGCCCTGTGGAGGTCTGTGTGAGGCCCAGAATGGCTTCAGCAACGTCCCTGGAGCTGGTGCTCTCCTCCTGGCTATGACTAGGGCCCTAGGGACAGGTTCCGGAAAAGCCTAGCTCACCCTCCCTGATGCCCACCTCACAGGACAGAGTGCCCCTCTATCAATGGATCAGGGAACGGATATGGCAGTCTATAAAAATAAATCCAAAACTCTCTTGAAGCTGCTTATGCCTTAATTCCAGCCTACCTTCGGGGGGTAAACAGCATAGGATGACTTGTGAATCTGGAAGATAAGTCTAAAATTCCCTCCTAGTTCTGCCGTCCTGGAGCCTGAGGAATGAACTTTAGTCTGTTCCTTTCAGCCTCGCAGATAAGCCACCCCTGCCATTGCCTAGGGCAAAGAAGCCACCCTACGTGATCCTGTCTCTACTCTGGGTAACTTCCAGTTTGCAGTCTCCTCCCCAGGAGGCCCCCATTCCATGCCTGAGGATATCTGGCAACACAGTCCCAGGGGACCCATGATGATGACTGGGAGGTCAGGGACCACCGCCCCCCGCAGCCTACAACTCCGTCTCAGCCCCGTTGTTGGACTGGTCTCCTGGGCCTGACAGCTGTTCCTGTTCCAGGTCTCCCTCCAGCTGTGCTCCCATCTCTGGGGGTGGAGACTCACCAGCACTGTTGGCCTCCGACTCCAGCAGGTGGATGTCATTGCAGTCAGCCAGCGAGTGCTCCAGGCAGAGCTGGAGGAAGCGGGCCTGGGTGCGGGTGACCCGCTTCAGAAGTGACAGCAGGGCCACCGTCTGCTCACATTCATTCCAGCCCTTGAACCAGCCAGCGAGGATGCCCACCTGGTCTCGGAACATCATGGTGCCGGGCCTGGGGCCAGGGTGGGGGGGACGGCGGTGGCGAGGGCCAGCGCCGTCACATGGTCTCGGCTCTGGGCTCCTGTCACCTCTCCCCTGAGGGCCAGGGCTTGAGGATGTTCCCTGGCGTGGTGGCAACAGGAGGCGGCGGAAGGAAGCTTGCTCACATTGAGGGAGGTCTTGGTCCAGCCACACCTCTCCAAGCTCCTGGAAAAGGAAACAGAGGAGTCAGGTAGGATGAAGGGGCTGAGGCTGGCCTGGGGAAATGTGGGTTGAGGGGTCAAGGAAGCCTTATGCCTTCATGTCAGGGAAGCTGTCCTGCCGAGGTCCTGGGAGAAAGGTGAAGCCAACACCAGATAAACCAACTCGCCCTCCAATCTCTGAATCTAGAGGAAAGGCTTGTGACTCAGAGACCCATCCCAGAGACTAAGAAGAAGATGCTACCCTCAATCCTGCCTGTCACGGGGCCAAGGGAAACGGATTTAAAGCCGAGTAAGATGGTAAGTAGGAGAGGCTGCACGCTACGGGGAAGATCTGCATTGATACACACCTGGCCCCAAGCCCACTAATAAGCAGACATGTGAACCCGAGCACATCCCTTGACCTTGGTGTCTCTGGTCGTCTCCTCTGAGAGCTGGACAGGGTGACTGCTCACCTGCTGGCTACTTCATATTACTTTAAGCTAAGATACCGACAATGCTAAGACGGGGGTAGGTGGCAGGTGGTGACCCCTGTGGAGATCCTGAGTAAGACAGATAAACTATCTGATCTGGAACTGGTGGGTGTCTGTCAGCCCAAAGATCTCCAACAGACTGAGGGGATCCCACCCCCTCCAATCCAGTTCTGCCACTCTGGAAAAGGCGCAGCTCTGTTCTCTATGATCACACCCATCTCTACTCTGAGGCAGATCTCTCCCAGCCCTCTTGAAGGTTGCCGAGGGTGGCTCCAGACCCAAGCCCTATGAACTGGGAAGTCCCCTTGGCTTTCAGGAATGCCAGCCTGTCATCCAACTCTTGGGAGCCAAGAGGATGCCAACCTGAGGGGAAAGGGATAGATCAAAAGTCAAAAGCTTCCAAGCAAGAAAATGTGCAAATTCCTAAGGCAGGAACTACACAGAGCTGTTTCAATTGAGCAAACAACAGGTCGTTTCTTCAACTGACTGGTTTCTGGACACCACTCTGAAGCCTTTTTCCAAGTGTCTCAAGCTCCAGGTCTCCACACACATTTCCCCATCTGCCTCTCTTGTGGCCAGTGCCCTTGGCGCCATTCCCAAACCACATTCAGCTCCATCCCCCTCTGGCTGCCAACAGGACTGAGGTTCCCTGAGGCTCCAACCCTGGGCTGAGAGCTCCATGCACAGGCCCAGGTCTTAGAGAGCTACTTCCATCTCCCTGAACTTCCATGCCCCTGCTGAGAGGGTTGTGGGGTACATCTGACAATGGCTGTAACCTGCCTCATGGATCCCCTGTGGGACCTCAAACAGAGCAAACTGGCCCGGCTGTCGATCCCTCTGGATACAAGAAAGCAGGGAAAGTTGTGGGGGAAATGAAAGCTTGCTCCAAGTTAAACAGTCCTCCCAGCATTCTTTTTAAAAGGGAAATCAGATGTTGCTTCTTGGCTTAAAACCTTCCAATGGCTTCCCACTGCACTTTAGAATAAAATCTCAACTAAATCCAACTTTCTTATCATGGCCTACAGGGCCCTGCAGGATTCCTGTGGCCTCTTCAACCTCATCTTGTACCAAGTTCCTTCTTGTTCACTAGAATCTTCTTCCCCTAGACCTAGCTATGCTTGGCTCCTCCCTGTCACTCAAGTCTCAGCTCAATGTCACTTCCTTGGAGAGATCTCTTCTGACCATCTAATCCAAAGACTCTCTCCCCAAGTCACTCTATTATATTAACCCTATCTCATTTCTTTTGTATAATTTGGCAGCCTCAGATATCAACTTATTCATGTTTGTTGTTTTCTTTCTTCCCACCAAAAAGCAAGCTACGTGGTCTGTCTTGGTCACCCAGGACCTAGAACAGCACCTGGCATATAGAAAACGCTCAATACATTATTTGCTGAACGAATGACTAGCTAAAGAGGGAGCAGGTAAGCATGGAAGCCATACTCAGGATTTCCACAGCCCTAGGGGAAAAGATGATACAAGCAATGGCCCAGAGAATGATAAAGGGACTTGGAAACCTCGTCCTAAGAGAAAAGTTTGAAGACACTGAAGAAATTTCCCCTGGGGGAAGAGAAGACTCACAGGGAATGGCATAACTGACTCAATATCTAAAGGGGTGGTACACAGAAGAGGCACGGGATTTGTTCTTTTACTCCATAGGTGAGAACCAGGGTAGACGGCTCTGAGTAAGAGGCAACATGGGATATGGGAAATGTTGAAAGTCAAGAAAATTCAGTTCTAGTCCTGCCCCAGGCCCTGATTCACTTTGATCTTTGAACTAATCTGCTTCCTCTCCCTAGAATATGTGAGATAAGAGAGTTGGACTGGATCAGGTATGACAAATAGATTTTAACTCCCAGGCTAACTCCAGTGGATTGGTAGTGGCTGCCTGGAGCACAGCATTAAGAAATGAAGCAAGTAAACAGTCATCAGTGAGGGAATGATTAGCAAATTGGGACACACCCCACTATGGGATGTTACACAGTTATTAAAAACATTTTTTGATCTCGACCGCATGATTTAAAAACATTTTACACATACGCACACACACCCTTACAGCTGAATATCTAGGTTTGTATGTATATAGAGAAAAGTGTGGAAGGATACACTCTAGGCTGTTAGCATTGGTTACCTCAGGAAGAAGGGAGAGTTTTAACAATTTATGCAGCTGTTTACAATTTCACTCGCTCCAAGTATACACGTTATTTTTGTAATTTTTAAAAGGAATTTAATTTAAAAAATTTTTAAGGCTATATTCTACCTTCCAGCTCAGTGAGAAAGGGTACTGTGACTGACTATCAGTGTTTGCCCTGGATACAGGATGGGTAAGTGGTGGCTCACGTGTCTGAAAATATCAGCTCTTCCCAGCTCCAGAATTTTGTGGCTTTGGGTCCCAAGTAGGCACAGCTGCCTCAACATAAGGGAGAATTTTAAAATAATTTATCTGTCCAAGAATGGAACTGGCTGCCATGTGAGGAGGTAAGAAGCTCCCTGGCTGCTGGAAGTGGTCAAGGGGAGGCTGGGAGTGGAAGGGATTCCTTCACTGGGTAGTAACTCGTAAGACAGAAGGACATGTTACTATTTCAGGGGGAACATTTGTGACAGGAGGTTTGATATGCCAACAGCATTTACGGCAAAAAGATGACCAAATTCAAGAACAGACCAAAGCTGTGCACGCTCTTTCCCATAAATTCCTGTACTGGGTCGTTTCTTTTCCTAAGCAACGGACCTGTGCTGTCCCAATAAACTGTTGACTAAACATTAATCCAGCTTCTTCGCCAGCCCAGTGCTAGGAGGAAAGCCTGGGGACAGAGCAGGGCTCCACCTTACATGCTTACAAAGCCAGGCTCTGAATGAAGCAGGCTGGTGGGGACTCTGTGTTGGAATGCCTACACCCTGTCTAAAGGGAGAAGTCACCATTCAGCTCTAATTAACTGTTGCCATGGGGGAATGTGGGTCCAGTATTGTCAGGTCTTAGAGATTTTTTAAGAGAAGCTGAAAATCTGGATTTTTGAGTAAAATTTTACATGTTGGAAATGAATTCAAATTAAAACAGCAACAATGAACTATCAGGCAGAACAAACAAAACCCATGGCCTGGAATCCTTGGAACACAGGTGGACACAAACTAGGAAAAGATTAGAAATCTGCTAACTGTCCCTCCCTCAGGCCATTCTGGTTTAAATCTTCAAGTCACCCAACTGCTCAGGGAATGTCACTGCTGGAGAAGATCTAAGAGGCTGAGGATGGCTCTGACAGTCCTCGGTAAACACTGGGGGCATGCAGTGTTGAAAAATCATCCTTAAAGGAAGGGTTCCTGTGTCTTCTGGGGAGAAGCATATTTAAAGAAGTTTGGTCTGGATGGTGACTAGAGAGGAGGAATGGATGGCCTTATTCCATTGCAGGGCCAGTGGTCTCCAGCTACTGCCTATCCTGGTGCTTGACAACAGGGAGAGAAGGAGAGCTGGCTTGGAGAGACTGGCACCACACTGACTATTCTAAGGCATCTCACTGTGGACACATTTTACTGTGGTAGATTGTGGTGGATCTGCTTACCAAACATCCCTTCCCTCTTCTGGTACCAGCACCCTGAATTCCCTCTGGAAAATTAACTTTCTTTCCTGGCTCCTGGATAAGCATGGGGTAAGGCCTGGCCAAGGAAAGCCCTCTCTGGAACTTTTGCCAGAACTACTGGAGGAAAATAAATTCTCTATTAGGATTGCTCAGTTTAAACAACGTAAGCCCGATATGACTGGCTGCCGTCTCTGTTATCCCATGGTGACATCCTGCCTAAGAAGGAAGCCAATGCAGATGAAAGCAGAATCAAGAGATGAGGGGTGAAAAAAGGAGGCCAGTTCACATCATTTGAGGACCTGGATCCAGCTATACCTGAAGCCTCCCCTGATCTCCGATACTTTTCAGTTATACAGACCAATAAATTCCCTTTTTGGCTTAAGCCAGTTTAAGGTGGATTTCTATTATTTAATATTGAAGGAGACTTTTGACTGCTCCCACACAAAACAGAATTCACCACTGCTCTGGTCGCTTTTTTCTCATATGACCAAAAATGACTCCCTGCCTTTGAGGAAAGACATATGAGAGAAACCCTTATGGCAAAAGCTTCTCAAATAATCCAGCAATATTGCTGCCATATTTGACTGGAACCAGTAACCTTCCTGGGAAGCACCTATCAATCCTGGAGGGTAGAAATGGAGTCAACAAAATGACTAAGAGGATCCCCTCCAGGATCTTGCCCTCCAGGCTCCTTCCCTGGCCCCAAACAGGGAGACCAAAACGAAAAACCCTGTAGCTGTCGAGTCCATTCCGACTCACAGCCATCCGATAGGACAAAGTAGAACTACCCACACTGGGTTTCCAAGGCTGTACTCTTTAGGGAAGCAGACTGCCACATCTTTCTTCTGCGGAGCAGCTGGTGGGTTTGAACTGCTGACCTTTCAGTTAGCTGCTGAGTGCTTAAATGCTGCACCACCAGGGCTCCTTAAACAGCCGATTCCTACTCATAGTGACCCTATAGGACA